CAATAAGTGACCGCAAATTTAGACAATAGGTTGCGATCGCGCGAAGAATGCGTCCGTTTATGACAACCTTCTGGTCGTCAAAAGTCAATTGTCTTATATCTGTGAACCGCTTCACTAATGGTCTCAAACGCTCAAGAAGTCTGACAGACATATCAGCGTTGGTGGTGTTCATCCAGTGGTGGCCATTGAGGTCATGGTTGTGGTCACTGACGGCATCCGAAACTGTGACCGACTGTTGGCTCGCAATCAACGATCGCTTCCACTGTTTGGACACAAAAAGCAGATCCAGTTTCTGACTGATTGTCAGATAAGACAAGAGGTGTTGACACAAGTCGTCGCCGAATCGGTCCAAAGAGTCCCTTCGGAACCGCTGTTGTGGTGATTGTGTTAGCGATGGACTCGTCGTCATCGGTGCGGGCGATAACTGATCCCCAGATGTGTTGTTGTGATCGGTGTTCATGTCTTCAGACATTGTCTTTGAGACACTGTTTGTGAACTGAAGTCAATGTTTGAAACTTTAAACATATATTTCTATTCAAAACACAATTAAATCATTGAATAAATATTTTTTGTTGTTTTTTAAAAAGCATACAAAACATGTGCCATAGAGTTATCATACGATTGCTTAACGTTAATAAATAACGTTTGTATAAATTTACATTTGGAAAAATGCCCATGCTCATTCATATTGATCAATTAAAAGTTTTAATTTAAAACTATATTAAATTCTTACTGTGTGTTGTAAAATGTTGTTTGATTTAATTTAATGAATGTAACTGTTTATAAAAATTAAAATTATATTTTATATACTGTATAACTTTTTGATACAATATGCTAAATAAATTAGATGTTTATTAAATACACACGTTAACTTTATTGTAACTTAATATTTTTTAACATTATAATTATTTATAGTAATTATAGTAATTTAATAAAATAAAGTTATCATAATGAAAATTCAATAAATCATACACTGTAAATATAACACAGCATAAATACATTCACAAAGGCTTATAAATGTTTTACTGAAATTATAAAAATAAAATTTACATAAAAGTATAACAGTTAAAGATTGTTAAAACTTTGACGATATTATCATAAAATTATAATTATACGAAAACACTGCTTAAACCGATGCAATCAATTCATTGGCGACCAGTTGTTTGAAATATCTTCGGTTCACTTTTCCGAGACTCGTTCGCGGGATGTGATCGACAAACACAACGCCAGCCCTTAATTGTTTCGCATCATTCATGTTGTCTGAATCATTGCATATCGTATTAATTAATGTCGAATTTTTAAATTAAAAAATCACTTCATTTCATACCCGAAACGTATTGTTTGATCTCCTCTTCGGTGACAGACATCCCATCTTTCACTTTGACATAAGCCCTAACCCATTGACTCTCAATCTCGTGCTTAACGCCAACCACTGCCGCCTCTGCCACACATTTGTGTGTCTCTAAAAAGAGCTCAATCTCTGTCGGGGAGACCTGTTTTGTCCCATATTTGATCAGTTCTTTGAGTCTATCGGTTATAAAGAAGCGATTTTGTTGGTCATAATGACCGATATCTCCGGTGTGAAGCCATCCCTCGCTATCTATGGCTTCATTGGTGGCCAACGAGTTGTTTAGATATCCGGCAAACATTGACGGTCCGCGAACACAGATCTCGCCGTCAATATCGGGCCCTAAATTTGATCCGTTTGTCAAATCAATCACTTTTAGTTCGGTGTTAATATTGGGTGGACCTAAATTGCCCTCGATCAATTCATTAGTATCCGAACCAAGAAAATCTGTAATCGCACCATATTCGGTCATTCCATACCCTAAATGTTAATTACAACCGATTAGACTAATTCAACTCAATTCAGTTCATACCCTGAGTGAATTTGAGATTAAATTTGCGAACCAATGTCTCGGCAACTGTGGCTGAAAAGGCAGAACCGCCGACAGTCACGAACTGAAGGCTCGAGAGATCGTAATTATCAACGAGTTGTCCGTCGATGAGTCGGTGTCCCAATGGGGGCGTTATAAACATGAATGTGATTTTGTATTTCTCAATACTCTCAACAATCAACTGATCGTCTAAAGCGCTGTATATAACGACGACCACTCCAGTCGTTAATAAGCGAAATAAAAAGCCCGAACCCGAGACACTCCCGAACGGAGTTATGTTCCCAAAGACGGGTCTCTCTCCCGGAGTCCAAAATGTTAAGCCAGACATTAACAAATAGTAACCATAGTGTGTGTGTAACACTGATTTGGGCACTCCTGTAGTCCCAGAGCTTTGTAACATTATGAATATATCTTTCACGGGATCGACAGTAAAGAATGGTATGGTTGGCAACATTTGATTGGATCCCTGTTTAAGTAATACACTAAAATCGATGTAATCATCATAAGTGCCGTCCAATATAGTGATCAATTTCACGCAATCATTTATTTTGTTGTTTTCTAACGCTTTGGATATGATTTCGGCTTTAGTTGTTGACGTGAAGATTACCATAGATTCCAATGTTTCCAAATGGCCCTCCATTTCGTAAATATTAGCGATGGGACTGATTGGGCAGATAGTTGTGCCCAACCATACGCTCGCAAACATTGCGATAACCAATTCAATTGAATTATCGGCAAAAGTAAGAATAATATCCGATTTATTGATCCCCTTCTCCAACAAAGCCATCGCCAATGCATTGGATTTTGTGATCAACTCTTTTACTGTCAATTCTGTGTCTGAATTCGCGTCAATCTGTGGTTTAATAATATAGTATTAAATATTTTTAAAAAGTTTAAAATTACATTTCATACTTACAATACAGACATTATTTTCATCAATCATTTGTAATTTATTCCATAAGATTTCAGACATCGATTTTGGTACTGATATACCAGTGAATGGTTTTTCTGATTTTATGACAAATTCTTCGCTCATATTTGAATCACTTTTAGAAAACTTACGAAAATATATTTCTCAATAAACAGAAACGAAAATAAAATAAACTACAACTTTACCTATAATATTGAAATTTAATCCACAAATACCTTGTTTTATAAACTTTAATCTAAATGTCAAACTATAATATAATACTTACATATTTATATATTCCGTATATTTTAGTTAATACTAGTATTAATATAAACAGCACAAGTAGACAACAATAATTGTCTAATTTTATATAATGTAATAAATCAAATGTCTTTTTATAGAAAACATTTTTCAAATAATGACTTTTTTAACAATCGTTTTATCTTAAAATTTTAAATATATAATCATTTAAAAGTTAATTAATCTAATTAATCATGAGCTTATTATAAAGTGCACGATAGCTCTAAACATTTATTATGGATAATTTATGTATAATTTATAATTTACTTAAACAATATTTCAACGCTAAAAAGTAAATACATTATGAAATAGACAAAATTGTAAAGACTTTCACTTATAACAGTAATTATAATTATGCCAATCACTTATAATATCTAATAATATGTTTACTACCATGCTCATTTTATATAAAACATTGCTTAAAACGAAACAATCAATTCATTATCGACCAGTTGTTTGAAATATCTTCGGTTCACTTTTCCGAGACTCGTTCGCGGGATGTGATCGACAAACACAACGCCAGCCCTTAACTGTTTCGCATCACTCATGTTGTCTGAATCAATACATATGGTATTAATTGTAATTAATTTTTTAAATTAAAAAATCACTTCNTTGGTGGCCAACGAGTTGTTTAGATATCCGGCAAACATTGACGGTCCGCGAACACAGATCTCGCCGTCAATATCGGGCCCTAAATTTGATCCGTTTGTCAAATCAATCACTTTTAGTTCGGTGTTAACATTTGGTGGGCCTAAATTGCCCTCGATCAACTCATCTGTATCCGAACCAAGAAAATCTGTAATTGCACCAAATTCGGTCATTCCATACCCTAAATAATAATAACAACCGATTAGACTAATTCAACTCTATTCAGTTCATACCCTGAGTGAACTTGAGATTAAATTTGCGAACCAATGTCTCGGCAACTGTGGCCGAAAAGGCAGAGCCGCCGACAGTCACGAACTGAAGGCTCGAGAGATCATAATTATCCACGAGTTGTCCGTCGATAAGTCGGTGTCCCAATGGGGGCGTTATAAACATGAATGTGATTTTGTATTTCTCAATACTCTCAACAATCAACTGCTCGTTGAAAGCGCTGTATATAACGACAACCACTCCAGATGTTAATAAGCGAAATAAAAAGCCCGAACCAGAGATACTCCCGAACGGAGTTATGTTCCCAAAAACGGGTCTCTCTCCCGGAGTCCAAAATGTTAAGCCAGTCATTAACAAAGAGTAGCCATAGTGTGTGTGTAACACCGATTTGGGCACTCCTGTAGTCCCAGAGCTCTGTAACATTATAAATATGTCTTTCACGGGATCGACATTAAAGAATGGGATGGTTGGCAACCGTTGATCGGATCCCTGTTCAAGTAATTCACTAAAATCGATGTAATCATCATAAGTGCCGTCCAATATAGTGATCAATTTCAAGCTATCATTTATTTTGCTGTTTTTTAACGCTTTGGATATGATTTCGGCTTTAATTGTTGACGTGAAGATCACCATAGATTCCAATGTTTCCAAATGGCCCTCCATTTCGTAAATATTAGCGATGGGACTGATTGGGCAGACGGTTGTGCCCAACCATATGCTCGCAAATATTGCGATAACCAATTCAATTGAATTATCGGCAAAAGTGAGAATAATATCTGATTTATTGATCCCCTTCTCCAACAAAGCCATCGCCAATGCATTGGATTTTGTGATCAACTCTTTTACTGTCAATTTTGTGTCCGAATTGGCCTCAATCTCAATAATAATAATATAGTTTTAAATATGAAAAAAGTTTTAACTTACATTTCATACTTACAATACAGACACTATTTTCATCAATCATTTCTAATTTATTCCATAAGATTTCAGACATCGATTTTGGTACTGATATATCAGTGAATGGTTTTTCTGATTTTATGACAAATTCTTCGCTCATAATTGAATCACTTTTAGAAAACTTATGGAAATATATTTCTCGATAAACAGAAACAAAAATGAAATAAACTTTACCTATGATATTGAAATTTAATTCACGGATACCTTGTTTTATAAAATTTAATCTGAATGTCAAACTATACTATAATACTTAAATATTTATATATTCTGTATATTTTAGTTAATACTAGTATATACAGCACAAGTAGACAACATTAATTGCCTAATTTTATATAATGTAATAAATCAAATGTCTTTTTATAGAAAACATTTTTCAAATAATGACTTTTTTAACAATCGTTTTATCTTAAAATTTTAAATATATAATCATTTAAAAGTTAATTAATCTAATTAATCATGAGCTTATTATAAAGTGCACGATNTTAAAATTTTAAATATATAATCATTTAAAAGTTAATTAATCTAATTAATCATGAGCTTATTATAAAGTGCACGATAGCTCTAAACATTTATTATGGATAATTTATGTATAATTTATAATTTACTTAATCAATATTTCAACGCTAAAAAGTAAATACATTATGAAATAGACAAAATTGTAAAGACTTTCACTTATAACAGTAATTATAATTATGATAATCACTTATAATATCTGATAATATGTTTACTACCATGCTCATTTTATATAAAAGATTGCTTATACCAAAACAATCAATTCATTGGCGACCAGTTGTTTGAAATATCTTCGGTTCACTTTTCCGAGACTCGTTCGCGGGATGTGATCGACAAACACAACGCCAGCCCTTAATTGTTTCGCATCATTCATGTTGTCTGAACCGATAGACTCAAAGAACTCATTAAATTCATCACAACAGCCGTCTCCCCGACAGAGATCGAGCAGTTCTTATTGACCCACAAATGTGTGGCAGAGGTGGCAGTGGTTGGCGTCAAACACGAGACACAGAGTCAATGGGTTAGGGCTTATGTCAAAGTGAAAGATGGGATATTTGTCACTGAAGAAGAACTCACAAAATTTGTTGCAGGTTTGCCATCAAATGATTAGCTTTAAAACATGTATGAAAAGTCTTATATCATATTTTACAGACAATTTGAATGATGCGAAACAGATAAGGGCTGGCGTTGTGTTTGTCGATCACATCCCGAGGACTACTATAGGAAAAGTCGATCGAAGATATTTCAAACAATTGATCGCCGATGAAGTCATTAAAGCCGTGTAATGTTGTCATCGATTCAATCAAACAATGAAACAAAGCTATAATTCCAATGACTAGTAGTCTATAAACCAGTTTAAAATAGTTATTATTTTCTAATTATGGGCTTTATTTTCTTTATTTTAGCAAATCAAACCCTTTTAGTTTAAATTAAAATAATTATTGGGAATTATAATTACAAGACTATTCTATAGTCATTAAACTAAATCAACGCTCAAAACAAATGTTTTCATTAATTAATACCGTAGTTTAAATTTAATGGGAATGTAATAACTGATATATTTTACGAGTTTAAATAAAAATTCTTGAGAATTTCATCTGTATTTTAATTATTTTGTTTATAATCTTAATAATTATTATTTTTTATTTAAAATATAAGATAATTATCTGATGAATAAAAAATGATAATTGATAAATACTCTACAGTATATTGTTTTTAATTTGTTATATAATTTATTACAACACATTTCATTTAAACATAATAATCTCAACACATAATTATTGCTATAATTTTTAATAATTAGATATTAAATCATGTTTGGATACTAATGTTGTTCATAATAAATATATCAAAGTTTTAGACTATATTTATAAATAATTAATTCAAATATAAATATGAGATTAAAACTATTAAAAAAGTATTAGCGGTATAAATAGTTGTCGACTCAACAAGTTTTTAATCAGATTTTGTTTGAATATTTGTGTCTGTGTTGAAAACAGTGTTAAATTACAACATAAAACACATTTGGATTCCTATTCCGTGTTTTGACACATACTATCAGTTTGTGATAAATATTTCTTATATAACAAATTGTATGAATCGTTTGTATTGTTATATATTTTGGTTCCTTAACTGAAGCCTTGGATTCAAAGTCACCTTCAATTGTGTTTTGATTGATAGCAATGTAAACCATTTAGCAATATATTTGGCATTTAATTTGTTTTTATTGTAAATATTTAAATATATATTACTGATTGTATATAACATGATTACACACTTATAACTAAGCTGATTGCTAAAAGTCAACACATTTAAATCACAATTGTTATAATACTTTATACTCACTTCTAAACTACTCCACTGTTAAGAGTCTTGTTTTTTAACTTAAGACTCTTTGCTTAAGAGTGTAAAGTATAAGACATTTTTTGAATGGCTTAAAAATGGGTTTTCATTATTTATTAACTATTATTTTAAAAGATTTTCACGTTAATAGCATTTGTAACTAAAATATGCATAACCTATAGCAAACATTCAAATTAATTTAAGAATTTTTATCAACAAAATACATTCAAAAAATGTTATTCAAGAAATAACAACAAAATTAATTAAATGTTTTGAACAAATATTAAATTTAAAAATATTTTTGAATTAAATTAGACATTTATTTTTACAAATAAACTATTTTTGCCCCATATGGCAAGACTATTTATTAAATATTAAAATACTGTATATTTGCATTTTTACACAGATTGCATGTCTGTCACAACTATTGCAATCAAACCTCGATATGGGTTGACGTTTGGATTCAGAAAATAGTAAATTATATCGAGTTTTGGTTAGTTTTGATAAAATTTTTATGGTATAATCACTTGAATAATTCAATTATTGATTGCTATTTTGCACACACCTTTCAGTAAGTCATAGGATTTGATTATGTAATCATTTTTAATATTTCACGACAGAACAAATAAAATATTTGGACACTTTTCTATCATTTAGATGTATATCATATTTGTTAAAATTTACTTAACGATAAAGTTTTAATTTTAAGTAAATAACTTATATAGAGATCGAATGATGTTATACTTCTAGTAAATATGCACTGTTTATTTCGAATTTTGCTAAAATTGACCCAGAGTTAAATAATATTACATTACCGGTGAAAACAATAAAAATTAAGCTTATATTGAAGGTATCTTAGAGGGGTTTGACTGCATTTTGTAATTGTATTGTAAATTTAATGAATTAAACTATATTAATATTTATTATAATAACAGACCATATTTATTTTAAATTTTTACTTTAGCTATACTTATTTAGAAATTATGACAATAAAAATAAGTTATTTCTAAATCTTAATGTATTTTTTAGCGTTGAAATACTGTTTAGATCAATTATCACATAAATTATACATAATTAGTGTATTGTGTACGTTATAATAAACTTAGAATCGTTAGATTAATGATTTAGACAATACAATATAATTATATATTTATAATTTTAAGGTTAGGCAAAGATTGTCATTAAATGTCATTATTTCAAATAGACGTTTGATTTATAACACTATTTAAAATAACACAATGAATGTCATTTAATTGTACATTAAAAGTACAGTATTCACACTTTAGAAAATGTTTTACTTTATAAATTCTTAGATTGTTTACTCATTATATCACTTTCATTAAATCAGACATAATTTGATAAATTTTTTCTAAATAATCATTACAAGGCTGAAGATATCTGTGGATTAAATTTTGATATTATGGACAAAGTTTTATAGCATTTTTGTTGCTGTTTATCGAGAGAAATAAAGTTTTAAAAAGTTTTTAAAAGTTTTGCAAATATGAGCGAAGAATTTGTCATAAAATCAGAAAAACCATTCACTGGTATATCAGTACCAAAATCAATGTCTGAAATCTTATGGAATGAATTACAAATGATTGATGAAAATAATGTCTGTATTGTAAGTATGAATTGTAATTTTAAACTTTTTAAATATATAAAACTATATTATGATTATTGAGATTGAGGCCAATTCGGACACAAAATTGACAGTAAAAGAGTTGATCACAAAATCCAATGCATTGGCGATGGCTTTGTTGGAGAAGGGGATCAATAAATCAGATATTATACTCACTTTTGCCAATAATTCAATTGAATTGGTTATCGCAATATTTGCGAGCATATGGTTGGGCACAACTATATGCCCAATCAGTCCCATCGCTAATGTCCACGAAATAGAGAGCCATTTGGAAAAACTAGACTCTTTGGTGATCTTCACGTCAACAACTAAAACCGAAATCATATCCAAAGCGTTAAAAAACAGCAAAATAAATGATTGCGTGAAATTGATCACTATATTGGACGGCACTTATGATGAATACATCGATTTTTGTGAATTACTTAAACTGGGATCCAATCAACGGTTGCCAACCGTCCCATACTTTACTGTCGATCCCGTGAAAGATATATTTTTAATGTTACAAAGCTCTGGGACTACAGGAGTGCCCAAATCTGTGTTACACACACACTATGGCTACTCTTTGATAGTAAACTACGAGTGTTGGACTCCGGGAAAGAAACCTGTATTTGGGAACATAACTCCGTTTGGGAGTCTCTCGGGTTCGGGCTTTTTATTTCGCTTCGTAACCTCTGGCGTACCAATCGTTATATACCGAGCGTTAAGCGAGCAGTTGATCGTTAAGAGTATTGAGAAATACAAAATCACATTCATGTTTATAACGCCCCCATTGGGACACCGACTCATCGACGGACAACTCGTTGATAATTATGATCTCTCGAGCCTTCAATTCGTAACAGTGAGCGGAGCGGCCTTTTCGGCCACAGTTGCCAAAACACTAATCCACAAATTTAATGTTAAATTCACCCAGGGTATGACTCATTAGTGCTAAATTTTGCGTTTATACATTGTAATTATCATTAAGGATACGCGATGTCTGAATATGGATTAATAACAGATTTTCTTGAGGTTGATCCCAATGAATATGAGTTGATCGAGGGCAATTTGGGTCGACCCATTGCTAACACCGAAATAAAAGTGATTGATTTGACAAACGGATCAAATTTAGGGCCCAATAGTGACGGCGAGATCTGTGTTCGCGGACCTCAAATGTTTGCCGGATATTTAAACAACTCGTTGGCCACCAATGAAGCCATAGATAGCGAGGGATGGCTTCACACCGGAGATATCGGTCATTATGACCAACAAAATCGCTTATTCATAACCGATAGACTCAAAGAACTGATCAAATT